ATTCTCAGCTAAAATGACATGGTGTGAGGCACTCATGAAATGTTCGTCCTGTTACAGTTGCAAGAGAATTCAGCTGGGTACACACAGGGTGGCTTTCACCTTGCTACACAGCCCTTTGAACTGTAGGCCCTCCTGCCTCCAGTTTCAGCGCCGGGATTATAGCCATGCTTGGGTTTACCTGGTGTAGGAAATCAAAGCTAGGGCTCTGAGCATGCCAGGCAAGCATTCCAGCAACTGAGACACATTCTCCAGTCAAAAGTGGTTAATTTTTCTAAGTGGCTTTGCCATGTAATTATCAGTTCACTGTAATGGGGTCAAACAAAGCTAAAGACCTTTGAGAATGTCCAGTAGAAACTAAGGAACTATTACCTAAATGAGGACTACACCCCAGGACCCTGTGCACACCAAATGACATTATGTGGTGTCGTCTAAATACTTAGGAGCTCTGGAGAGAGGTCAGGGAGAAGTCAAAGATCAACCACTGTGGTCACTAGAACTGAAAAAGAACACTACAGGAAAGAACAGCAAGGCTCTCCATTGTTTGTTCCGCTTTGTCTATGTATGTCTGGTCTATGTAGCCCAGGCTGGCTTCAAACTCCTCACACTGGGTCCTTCTGCCTCTCTTGGAAACAGCTGGGATTACAGGTATGCACTGTTAGAACCAAGATGGAATGGCCAATTCTATGGGGTCAAATAAAGGAGTGTTAATGGATGCTGCCATTAGTAATGCTCCCTCTGTAATGCTGACTGGATGAGCGTGGCGGTTAGCTTCTAGAACCTTTTTCAGGGATAATTTCATTTAACTGCTGACACCAGAATCTAGGCAGTGATGCATTGAGCAGTATATGATACCCATAACCACCTCAGTCATTATCCAGTGACCATGTTCCCAGCAGGATTCTACCACGGCTTTCCTGATTATAGACACTCCTGCTAGATAGAAGTCTCATTGGATGGAAGAGCACCAAAACTTTTCTCTTTTTAAAATGTACGTTAGTGGTTTGCCTGCATGTAACATGTCTATGTGTCGGATGCCCTGGGACAGGAGTTACAGTTGAGAACTGCCATGTGGGTGCTGGGAATTGACCCCGGCTCCTATGGAAAAGCAGCCAGTACTAGGCCAGTGTAGCCCCAGCAACAGAACTTTATATCCTTTAGAAGCAAACTCATGGAAATTGTGGGTGTTGAACCCAGGGCCTGCACAAGCTTGGCCAGTAATCCTTAGTGAGCTATATCCATATCCCCTAAATTTCAATCTGAAAATCTGAAAAGAAACAAGAGTGTAGTCCTTAAATTTAATATTAATATGAAGAGAAATTTGTGAGACAGTTTTAGTGTTAGTGTTTTCCAAACTGGGTCTTGTATAATCCAGGCTGGTCCTGAACTCATTATGCGTTCATCATTTGGAACTCCAGATCCTTCTACCTCTACCGGCTTATGCTGGTTTACTGGCATGTACCAGCACAATTTTAAAATGTGTTTTAAATGGAAAATATGTAAGATCCTGTCTCAGTTTTTAAAAAAATTAGCATGTATTTATTGACACTTCAACAGAATGCGAGTCCTTGGTGTGGCCTTACAATGGGAAATCAATACATCTGGAAACAGACGTCTGATTCAATTTCATAGTATTAAGTGTTGGAAATTTATTCATTCAGTGTTTGTTTGCAGGTCACATACTTTGACTCACAATCTTATGCTCTCAAGCTATAAAGAAGTAACAGCACTTATACGAATAGTTTTAATGAGAACCTGATATGAATGTCAGCAGTACAGTACTCAATCACAGCTGGACCTAAAAATAAAGGCTGTTGGTAGAAATGTTTGCACGTCCAGACCCTGCCATCCACTAAGAAGCTGGGTTTACCGGCACCCCAGCACCAGGGAGGTGAAGACAGATTTCTGGAGCTTTTGCTGGCCAACAACAGAGTAGCCACATTTAGCAAGAGATGTCTCGAAAGGAAAGGTCAAGTGATGGAAGATACTTCTAGGTTCTACACACCCACACCCACATATGTACTTTTTTAGAAGGGTGTATTGACTCACATTTGTAATTCTAGTATTCAGAAGGCAGAGGCAGAGGGATTGCTTCCAGTTCTCAGACAGTCTGAACGACATAGGGAGTTCCAGGCCAGCCTATACTAAGATTCTGTGCTAAAGAGCTATTAGACAGGCTGCGACAAGACCATGTGCATTAGAAAGGTCTCTGTTTTTAATCAGCAAGTAAAAGTCTTAAGTTCTGAATTTCTGAAGTGGATGTATTTGTGATTTCTTTCTTGGGAACAGAGTGTCAAGACAGGGAAACACATTGGACATCAGAGCACGACACCATTACTTCCCTAGTAAGGTATTCCCACTTAATCAGCGTTGTGATAGTAGGGGTCATATGTTTGTTAGCTCATGGTGCTACCCTTTCCCACTACAGACTTCCAGCCCTAGAAAGGAAAGAAGTCACTGGGGTGGGGGGTACGAAGGTATGACACTTTTCAGTGTACAAATGTGGCCTGGAGGTTAGGCTGGTCAGCATTAGAATGCATCTCGCTGCTCATTGTTTAAGGCTGTGTCTATGCTGCTAACTGGAGTGGTCTCATGCCAAAGAATTAGTATCTGTTTCTTTAAAACAAGTCTGCTTGTTCTTACACCGACTTCTATGGCTGCACACATCAAGATGATTAGAACTGATCAAATATTTGATTATTAAGGGGTACAAAAGCACAGAGTATGGTGGCGCATGTATGTAATCCTAACATGGAAGATCACTGTGAACTCAGTCCACCTGAGCTCTACAGCAAACTCTGGGCTAGCTGCAGCTAAAGATCTTGCATCAGAAACATTGCTGAGTTAAGCTAGTGAATAAAGGTCTTTTTAACCCCTGGAACCTACATAAAAGCAGAAAGAACTGACCCCACTAAGTTAGTCTTTCATGGCTTAACTTTCATATGGACCACATCTATGCTGGTACACAAATTTAAAAAACACTGGGACAAACTGACAGGGGGACTAAGCTCTGTGTTAACATTCATGTTACAACTCTCATGACAAAACATAAATGACAAGATCCAATATGCCTCTTAAGTACAAAAAACCTTGCAACTAGAATACCTGGTCAGATGCTTCTGTAGCAAACAGTTAATCCTTTGAAGCACTCTGTTGAAGACAGTGTGTAAATATAAGTCATCTTTAAGTCTGGCCAGTCACGGTGTTCTGGAATTGGGCCCCTGAGGCTCAAGGGGTCACCATACTTCACAGGTGGTGACACCTCCAATGGAACAAGTTTGAGACAAACTGAAATGAAGCGTTGGGAGTGCAGGGCTCTGAAACTGACACACTGCAATAAGCTCTCTGGTCCCACTTGTCTTGAAACTGTCTTATTGTCCTCTAACGGCTGTGAGTGTGCCAGGAAGTCACTCTCTTCTGTCCCTCACTAAGATCTAGCAGATACCTAATTAAACTGAAAATAACTTTTTTTATTGTCAAATTTTAAGACTGACCTATATATCTGAACTATATATCCAGGTGGTAAGAAGGAAACTGAACTATATATCCAGGTGGTAAGAAGGAGGAGACAGCTTGCTGTTAGGAGCCACTGTTGCTTTGAGCTCAGGCAAGCTCTACCTTGTGTGCAAGGGTTACAGGAGGACTCATGTGGCCAGCTTGGAGCCTCCTTGTTTGCTTTAGACTTCCTCCAGTTCATTTCAATAACTCTAGCATTTACTAACATTTAGCATGATAATCTCTAAAACTAAAGAATTCTTTGGGTTTTTTGAGACATGCTCTCTGTGTAGTCTTGGCTAGTATTTTGAACAGGCTGGCCTCAACTTTACAGAGATCTTATGGTTTCTGCCTCCAGGGAGTCTGTGATTAAAGTGAGCCACCATACTAAGCTCAGTCCTAAAACCATTTTGTCATAATTCCAGTAATTTTTTTTTTGCCAGCTCCCACTATGACAGTGATTTGTAGGGAAAAGCGCACACAGCATTTTCCATAAAGCTAAACTTGACTTCTAAATTGCCTGTTAGTGTTAAAACAGGCTTTCTTTAAATAAATATTTAAATGCACCCACATAGTACAAAACTTTATCAATTTTACTTCATGTACTAAGCAAGGAGATAAAGATGGCAACCTATCATGGTCCCAACTCTCTAAAAAGTAGTGAGACTCACTGCGAAACAAAGCTATTTGGCTAACATGGCTTTAGCCAGGGTGGCTGTCAATCTTTTACACATCCAGAACATTCAGTAGTGGAACTGCTCCACCCCCATTTTACTTTGAAAAATTCAAAACTGCTTTTTAATCTTCAAGTGTTCCTAACCATTCCCTCTTGAAACCACACTAAAGACATCCTAATTCCACACCCAATGGTTCACCATTAACATATGCACCGTGCCTTCCTGTCACCCCAACCCCACCTTCCCTGGCCCATCACCAACCTCTGTTCTATTGGTAACTCACAAAGCTGGGTGCAGTGGATGACACTGATAATCCTGGAATTCAGGTTAGCCTGTGGACACAGCAAGTGAGGTCCATCCAACAGAGGTAAGCAGGCAACTTAAACTGCTGTGTGCACGCTAAGTAAGTTTTCAAAGGCTTGAAGCGTGTAACTTATGTATTTACTTGCTTACAAACTGATGATCTAATATACAGCCTATGAGAGAGTGCTGGAGTCCCAACCCCATTTCCCAGAGAACTCCTAAGTGTGATTTCAGGGAACTTTTGGATGTTTCTTAAATCCTATAAAAATTCTAAAGGTATAATGAGTACAAGTCACTGCTATCTGTGAGTGAAAGAATTCCTGCAGAGAGGACTGGCTTTACTTATTTTGTACTTCCAGATCAAAAACCAAAACCCAAACAAACAGAAAAACCTCCTCTACAATTCAGTCTTGTAAACAAAGGAATTTGAGTGTCTAAATTTACAAAGGTATTTCCAATGAGTCTAAACTAGCATACCTGCAAATAAATCAGAATTAAATATCAATAAAATTCACAAAGCCAGAAGCAGTTTAGTGCTCACAAGTTTATATTTTAAGTTTGATAAAGATTCTTGTGTATTTTCTAAATACACAGACAAACAAAGGTTTTGGAGGTTTACATACATGTCTCAGGACATTTAAATAGTAGGTAGGTAAATTACATTTAAAAAAGAAAATTGGTCTTTGTAAAAGATCTTGCCAGAGAGCTTTTACAAACAGCAGGCAGAAGAGTTCTGTTTACAGTGTTTAAGATGCTGTTTCTCCCGTATCATAATGGCTTCAATCATCCCTTTCTTAAACCCCAAATTTTGTTCTCAATAGCTAGTGTATTCCAAATTTAGTGCCCAGTGCCCTAAAATTCAGGGTGAGAAAACATCTTTCAAAGTGTGCTTATCCCTAACATGTTTTAAACTACCTTGTTCAACTTCACTTGAAGACTGGAATACAGCAGGTAAAGAAGAAACAAAATAAATAATTCTACTTTAAATCCTAAACTAAGAAAACACCTGTTAGTTCTAACTGTAGATTAGGTACCATAGTTAAGCTTAAGGATCCGGGTGACTGAACAGCACACAAGCTGGGGCTTATATATATAGTTCTTCATATTAAAAAACCATCCTTTTAAAAAGTGAAAATATCAGCCCACTCACAAAGGACTACAGTGAGGTGTGTTTAATAAGTCAAAGTGACAAAAGCAACTCCCAGAAGAAAACAAAATTCCTAACATAGCCAGTTTTATGTGGCATCAATAGAACCAGACCTGATTAACCCCTGCTCTAAAAAAGCCATGGTGATTTAGGCAAGTATCTGAGTTTCTCTGAGCCTTTTCTTATTTGTAAAATAGAATAGCACCTACCTTATAGGTTAGATAAAATAAGGCAAACAACACAAAAGAGTGGGCATACCAAAAAGTGGGAGTTTCCGGGTCATAAACCGAAGGACGAACCTCTTATGCCATGGTCAGAGAACACTCCAATCACAAAGCGAGTCCTCAGACCTTGCTTCCTGCCAGACTTCATTCCTCAGGCCCTCCCTCCACTTCCCTCATTTCTCCCTACCAGCTTTTACTTTTTTCTCTTGGTTCACATTTATTATTGAACAGCTAATATGCACTTACTAATAAGTAAGTATGATGCGTACTTACTGTGCTTGAGTATTCTATGAACTGCAATGAATTTACTCACTCTTTATTAGGATGGCTTTACTTAAGCCAAATAGTACTTTTTGCCCCAAAATTCAGAGCTACTTGTTATTGTCCAGTTTCCTCTTCCAGTACCACACACACACACACACACACACACACACACACACACACACGCACACACACACGCACACACACCCCAAGCTCTTGATCACTAGGGTGCTAAAATTTAGCAAAGTGTCTAATAAAGAAAAAATGAGAGTCAAGAACCTTGACAAATGAGGGACCATATGGAAGAAACTGACTGGGAGAATAACACATGATCTGAATTTATGACATAGTATTACCACTGTGGAATATGAAAGTGTATGTTCTTCCCCTTCATTAAAATTAAAAACTCTAAAAATATTTTATTTAAAATATAAATTACATGAAAAACTTCACCAAATGTACAACATAACTCTGCCAGACTTTCAGACAAAATTCTGAGTATTCAATCCATTACCTTTCTGAGACCAAAAGTTCTTAGAGATTTATCAACTTCCTGAAGTTGTATTGTCAGAAAAAGGAATATACTTAAAAAAATAGAAACGTCCAGTAGTATAGTACTAAAACTATTTTTAAAAAAAGGTCTCAAAGGGCAAAGGCAATCCCTGAAGACCGTGAAACAAAATAACTTAGGCAGTCAGCAGTAGAAAAGTCTGTCAGCTCTGTTTCTGGTAAAGTGTTCACGTCAAAGAAACTTTTATATAGGCTGAGGCAAATATATATTCAAGAGTATAAACATTTTTTCCTTTGGATTACCTAAAAACAAACTTTTTAAAGTATATTTCAGATGACTAAAAATATAGCCAAATCTGTCACAACACGACATAAAAGGCAATGGACAATTATAGAATATTTTAAATTAACAATAATAAGCCATCTACATTAAACCTGTTTCCAACTAAAACCAAACAAAAGCACAACAATCCTGTACCAAATGTGTATTTCAATTTACTGTACGCAATCTAACAAAAATTTGGTCATAATTTACCAGATATACATAAATGATTTAAGTAATAAAGGAAATTGTTTCAAGATAAGGTCATATCTCGAGTAAAATAAAGTACATTAAGAATGTAAAGCCAAGTCCAGTTTCTATGCAATAAGTGAACTACTGTCTAATAAAGCAGATTTAGGTGATCTTTTTAAATATATATATTTGCTCTTTAATATATATTTATATATAGACAGATCTACCAATTGTAAACTATGGTTTATTTTAAAGGAAGGGGATAGATGGGATGAAAGAACTCTTCATACTATACTTACATATTCACAAAGCAGAACATTTTACCTTTAAAATACTTTTTCATTCATAATATCTCTGCCCAACTATGTCTACTTTGGACTTTACTAGAATTACATTTTACTCATTTGTTTCAAACACAGAGAATAAGGTGTACCCTTCATTTCAAAAAAATCAAAATGAAACTCTTCTGCCATCCTCCCAAGAAATGCAGAGACTACATACAGTTCAGAGGGCAGTGGGTGGGTCTCACCACATAACACGAGTAATTCATCTCTAATTTATCCACGCAGAAAGTCACTGTCCAATATCAAACCATTATTCTACTGAAATCAGAGGCAAATGACGAAGCTTGTCTCTTTAAAAAGAAAATCAACTTTTCAACTTTGACCAGATGGAGCACCAAAAAGATTTGTGTCTGTCAAAGCAGCTCTGTGGCTTCTTCCACACAACTGTCATAATTTAGATACTTGATATAAAATAGGAAAATATACTCAATTTCTATTTAAAAGAAAGTTGAAAATATGACGTCTCTCCATTTTTTTATACATATAAATATGCTCCTGATATGCTGTCTTGGTCATCTGGCTACATAAACCTAAGAGTTTAAACTGCATGAATAACTCTGACTCCTGAAGAGTTTAGATAATGCAACAATAAAAGCTCTCAATATTTTACTTGTAGTATTTTTGTATGTTGAATCATGGAGATTATTAAGATTTCATCAAGGTGTGGTGACTTGGAATGGAAAAATATATTATCAGCCACAATTTAAAAACACTCAATATCCCGGTAAGTATGAAACAAAAGAGAATGCACATTTTGTGTTCATTTTAATGATAAAAAAGGGCACAGGAGAAAAAAAAAACCTGATATTTCACTTATATTGCATAACAAGCTAGCCAAACTGGACATGGAGGATGAATTATAAAACAAATCATTTTACGTATTTTTCTATGACTATTCTTCAAATTAGACTCTGTATTTCAAATAAGGCTGAGGTATAGCACACTGGCAAAAATATAAGAGGCAAACAAGAATAGTGCCAAAGTAACAGATACCCAAACCCAAAACCCATGTCAGAAAACATCATATAGTAACCATTTATCAGATCAGAGCAGCAGGAGAAAGTTACTTGTAAGTCATAATCATTTTAGTGGTATCTGTCAGCTTCACCATGGTAACTTCGTAACATCATTCTTCATTTGTGAAGTAGTAAAATTCACGTCAAAAAAAGGGGAGGGAGGATGGGGAGTCAGTTAGTTCATTCCAATAAATTACCTCTCCAGCTCTTACAAACATGCCTATCAGCACAAAATTAAGAAATAACATCTAAGACTAGAAGAGACTTGGTTTAAGTTATGAAGCAAATAAAATGGAAAAAAAAACAAACAAGAAAATAGAACCAATGGGGTTCAAAAAGCCCCTCACTGAAAATCTGTATTAAAAAAAATAAAATTAATAAAATAAAAATAGAAACAAAACTCTACTAGTACAAACTAGCCTGAGTGGTTTGATTGACAGAGTGATTGGGTCAACTGTCACTGTACTTCCATAAATGGATTTTCTTCATCCATGTTAAAGTGGCACATGAATGTAAGCAAGCTCTATAAAGGACAAGTACTATATTCTCATACAACCCAAATAGTTAACTGTATATCCTATAAATAAAAAATATTTTACTTTGACAACTGACTGAAATATGTGAGGACTCCATGTATCCAACCACATGGTTGCTTGCTGTATAGTCCTGTGCAAATATAAAAATTTTTTGCTATAAGGCTTTAACCCTACAGTTTTTCACAGCAACGTAACTACCATCCAGCATGTACCATATTTTGCAAGCCTTCAAGTTCAACAATCCCAATTGTCGATTCATAGTATGTCCAATGCAGCATTCTTGAGGAATATATATAGCAGGTCAGCTCATCATCCAGAGACATAGAGGCCTCCTGACGCATCCCATCGAGGTGCATGGCTCTGATCCTGTCTGTCCTCAGCCATCTCTTCATCCGGCTCACCGGCTTCATGTTCCTCAAATTCATCGCGAGGGAACTCTGTACCTTGTCCCTGATCTACACCTTCTTGCCCTCCTGGCTGTGATTTATCTACACAGTCCATACATACTCCGTAGCGTCGAGATCCATGCTTTATTCCAACACTGGCTGCTAACATGAAGATCTCCTTACACACCATGCATTTGTATTTTTTATCCTTTTTATGCACCTAATTGAAAGAGGAAAAATTCAATATAAGAACAGTACAGGTAAACACATTTGAGCCATTCAAACTAAGCCATACAACTATCAATGAATGGACAGTTAATATTTTTAAATGAATTACAATATCAGCTCAAAAATAATTCCTGCTTAAAGCAGTTTAGCATCTTTCCTTAAACTTGCAAGTAAAATGCTTTAAAATATCCCTGGCATAAAAGTTCTCCATGATCGGTGAGTTTCAAGTCACTTACCAGGGAATGTCTTTTTACGTGTTCTCTTCTAGTAAACATCTTCCCACAAGTTTCACACTTAAATGATCTGACTCCAGAATGAATGAGCATGTGCCGTTTTAGTGTTCGTCTGTATTTGGCTACATAGCTACAGTGAGGGCATTTTAACTTGTTCATCATGATTAGAGATGAGTTACCTTAAAGGGAAAAAAATATACTGATTAATAAGATTAAAAAGAGAAACCACATATCAATACTATGTCTATGGGATTTTAGAATTCTGTAGTTGCTTAGTTGATACTTGCCATTTTCCCACGTTCCTTGTGTGGGCCAAGATTCTGGCAATAATCCATACTTGAACTCATTTGAAGCGTCCGGCAGCACTCTGAATTTGAAGTCATTCGAAGTACTTGGAAGCACCTCATACTTGAAGTCACTTGAAGTGCCAGGCATCAAACTATACTTGAAATCATGTGATGCTCCTAGTACAATTGAAAAGTGATTATGAAGTAATGGCTGGGAAAAACTCTAATTAGAGCCAGAGAACAATGATAGGCTATCTTAATAATATAATATAAACTAAATAAAGCTGCACATGCTGGCTCATACCTGTATCCTAGCACTTGAGAGGTTGAATTCAGAGTCAGCTATGGGCCACAAGAAAGGCCTAGTCTCAAAAAATTACCCAATTCCTTCTCATTCTGTCTTCCCTCCAAAACCTAAACAAGTCCCTAGACTCAATTCCCATACTCTAGGGATATAAAGAAAACAGCAACAAAAGCCTAGTCCATAATAACAAAAAACAGGAGAACACATAGTTGGGAATTACCTCAACCCTATTTAAAATTTATATATCATTTATTGGGTCAAAGATTCTTTTTTGTATAAGGATATATAGATATATACAGACATATCTACATAGATATATACATATATTTTTACTTTTTGCCACTTGATCCAATCAACCATCAATTCTATTCTAGTGTGTGGGTTCTTTCTTATTGGCTGCCAAATTGTTTCCTAGTTTGTACTCAGTCACAGCAATTCCATTTTTTCCCCGATTTGGGACATGGCCTTATGCAGTCCAGGCTGGCCTTGAACTTGCTATGTAGCTGAGAATGACCTTTAACTTGGGACCCCCCTGCCTTACCACCCACCTATATGTACCACAACACCTCGCACAGATTTTTTTTTTAAAAAAAAACAATAAAATCCCAATACTGGGAGGTGGAGATAAAGTCAGACTAGGAAGAGTAAGACCCTGTTTTCAAAAAACTGGTGGTTTTTTGAAAACCACCAAGCTAAACCAAAACCAAGCTAATTCAAAGCCTGTCAGGCTGCAAGGAAGGGCTACCCATCTAACTCACAGTGATAAGTCTGCACTTTCTATAACCAAACCAAAACTAGCCTGGTAAAACCCTTCTTTCCAACTGCTCCTTTGGGCTGCTCTGTTCCAACAATAAGAACCTCTGTATGGTTTTATCCATGGTAGCAAATACACTCCCACTGCAAGGCACTTTTTAACTCTGACTTGCCTGCAACATTCCTTTCCAATATAGGCATTTGCAGAACTTACTCATATAGTAATGCAGGTAGAATATCTCTAAATCTAAAAATCCATAATCAAGTGCTCACAAATCTAAGAGTAGGTTTTGTTTTGCTTTGTTTTAAGAATATCATGTTGCTGCTCAAAAACTTGATTTTGGAGCATTTTACAGTTTTTCGATGAGAGATGCCAACCTTGACTGCTGTTTCTTCCTTCTATCAGTAAAGGCCATGAAAATACGCAAACTCTGAAAGACTCCATCCTCTATAACACATCTAGTGCTTCTGAGAAAGGGTGCTATCTGTAGTAAAATTTTCTTCCCATAGACTCCTGGATTTCATAAATAAAAATTTTACTCATTTGCTAGAGATATTGTTCCCTTAAAAATTAGAATAAATGTAAGATTTTCTTTGGTAAAAGAATATATAGAAGAAAGTTTAAAAAGGATCTTTAGGAGCCGGGTAGTGGTGTATACCTTCTCACTTCTAACCTGAGTTGGGGCTTTATGATCCATATACCTCAAGGAATTAAGTAACAGATTTGTTTCTAACAGGACATCAGACAGCAGGACATTGTGCTTCTTATGTCCAAAATACACATGCCCTTTACTTATCTGCTGAATAAATGTATTTAAGAAAGCCAGCATGTACCTGCTATTTGTTCAAAATACTTAACTGACCTCAGAAACCGTATTAAAATCTGTTAATAAACTCAAACAGTACTCACTACATATATATAGTATATGTATGTATATACATGATATATGTATGGGATATATTTAAAACTAATAAACTGACAATGCAAGAATTAGATTTTAAAAACTTCAAATTCCATGCTTTCCTGCATACACCATTAATATGCAAGCAGCCAGTGGGATGACTCAATGTAAAACCACTTGCTGCCAAGCCTAATCATCTGATTGGGGTCACTGGTACCCACAGGGTACCAATTCCCAGATGTATCTGATCTCAGTGCCAGAACATGTACAGATAAAATAAATAGTATTTTTAAAAGATTTATTTATTTATTTATTTTTATATATTTAAATACACTGTCACTGTCTTCAGACACACCAGAAGAGGGAATTACAGATGGTTGTGAGCCACCATGTGGTTGCTGGGAATTGAACTCAGGACCTCTGGAAGAGCAGCCATTGCTCTTAACCACTGAGCCAGATACTCTTCCTTTTTGGTAAGGTAGGCAGGCAGGCAGGCAGGCACGCACACACACACACACAATGTAGTAATAAAAAACCTTTATGGAGATTTATTTTTTATGGGCTATAAAATAGATTTCTGGTCAATTCTATCAATCTATTTACAATGGTCATGTAATTTTTGCCTCAAGGTTTCCCCAAAGTAAAACTGGTTTAAATCACTGTTTAAATTTTATCAACATTTTTCTGAAATTGAGTTTTTACATTTTAATGATTATCTTTGCATATGTGCCCCCAAAGGCTGTGTCAGGTACCACCCCAAACAACACCAAAAATACCAACTTTACCAAGTTCCTAAAGTCATCCCAGCCTAACTAACCTCAGACCAGTCTCTAATTTGAAGCATTTACATACAAATAGCCAAGCATCTACAGTAGATTCACCAGCACTCTACAATATTCAGAACCTCTCAGATGCATTCTTGCCAAAAATCTCACTGTACCTACCAGCATCTCCTGCATCTTGACCACTGCAGGCTTCCGCCAATAAGTTTGTATTCACGGTCCTATCACCATCAGGTCCTGAGAGTAGTGCACCATCCAAATCTGAAAATGACACAATGAGTTTATTCACAAACTGCACCAGAGCCATCCACCCAAGAACAGTACTTTCTCCCAGTACTGGGTACCCACCACACGCTGAGCATGTAAACTCCAGGTGACAACCAGAACATACTTTTATTCATCATCTTTGGTTTTCCTAATATCTAAACTCAATGCCCTAACTTTGTGCTAAACAAATGTAGTACTGTGTGCACCACAGGTATGCAAGAGTATGAGATGGCAGAGTCCAGTCTGCCCTTCCAGTATGGGTTCCAGGACTTAACTCAGGATGCCAGGCCTGTGTAGCAGAGTGTTTTACGAGTCATCTCATCAGCCATGATACTTCTGACTTGGTGATAATTGTGAAAACTGTGCTAATATATAAAAATAATTTTAATTAAAAAAATTATTTGAAATGTTGTGTGTGCTGCTGTGGACTGAACCCAGAGTACTGAGCATTGTAAACACCCTAGGTAAGCACTGTTAACACCACCCTTATCATTGTGACAGACAAATACACCTAAAACAGTGAAGATTTACTTATTTTGTATATCAATGTTTTGCCAGAATGTGTGTGTGTGACATGTGGGTGGTTGTGGGCCACTATGTGGGTGCTAGGAATCAAACCTGGGTCCTGAGGAGAAGCCAGAGCTCTTGGTTACTAAGCCATCTTTTTAGCATAATTTGAATTTTTAACCCATGATGAAAACAGCTTTCAACCACAAAACCATGTACAACTGGTTAGGAATGGTCTTTGAGGAACTGAGGTGTCTCAGGTACTGATCCTAGTTTTGTTAAACTAGCTATCATTTATATTCATCATATTAAAGATCTGATATAGGAAGTTTAGTTGAATAACCAAATGCTACTGCCAATCAACTGTTACTGAGTGTAATATGAACTACGAGTGCTAAAAAAGCAGATTGGAGTTGTTCTCTTATTAGTTCAAAACTAGACCTAGTTAAAATTCCAGGTAGAGATGTAATAAAAGCAGTTATTACTGTTGTTGTTTATTGGTTAAGAGTTGATTTGATCTACTGGACAGACCCAGGAGAGGCAGTATTTCTATTAAAGCCACTGTTTCACTGTTATCAAGATCTCTGACCTCATTCACTCCTCTCATACTAATGAGTTCTTATCGCCTTGCTTGCCAAATATAGTCTGCACTTATAATAAACACCTTTCTGAAACACCAATCTTTAATTTTTCAATGGTGTATTATAGCTATTTAGTTTAGCCTGATCACTATTCAGGTTCCTGCTTCTAATCCTTGGATAATGTCCACTGCACTAAATCCCTACTCTACTCAACTGAGTATCTGAAAACAATTCTAAAATCTCTCCTCTTGCCGGGCGGTGGTGAATCCCAGCACTTGGGAGGCAGAGGCAGGCGGATTTCTGAGTTCGAGGCCAGCCTGGTCTACAGAGTGAGTTCCAGGACAGCCAGGGCTACACAGAGAAACCCTGTCTCCAAAAACCAAAAACCAAAAACCAAAAAAAAAAAAAAGCAAACAAAAAATAAACAAACAAAATCTCTCCTGTGAACTTGGTTCAAAACATCTTTGGCATGATCATCCTTGACTATTCTGTATCCCCTAAAGTAAATAAAAAATACAAACAAAAACTTCTCTGTAAAGTAGACATTTAACTGAAAACGTATTTACAATGTGTAAATAAACTACTACAATGTAATTTAATAGAGCACATTCCGGTGTACAATTATAAAATAAAAGTCCAACTCACTTAATACTAAGGAACCAGCAGTATCACGTGAGTATGAACCAGTGATATAAACCAGTGGTAGAAGGGTAATGGTAAGAACTCCATACTTCATGCTGTCATGAATGAATAAGAGCAATCTAAGAGGAGATGCAGAGACCAGCGACAAAGCAATCCTAAGCTACAGGCTGTGCATTTGCTGCCCAATGCCTGCCTTTTGCAGGCAGAGGGCGAGAGGAGACAAGGAGAGAAATGGCAGGCGGAAGGCAGCTAGTTCTTAGCACCCCAAGCTGAGGGCTGACGGGAGACAGTAAAGTGTAGCACAACGCTTGGTGGGAGAATTCATTTTGTAGGAAGAAGCTAGGTCATCTTCCGATGGCAGCAGAGGAAACACAGGGTACAAAGTAACATTTAGTCTAGAGCACTGAGTCTAACACACCTGAGAAGTATAGTGTTAAATGATTAAAAGGGCAGGCTTGCTTCTACCTGGTACTGAATCCCCTAACAGGTCATTCTGCTCTCTTAACGTATTGGTTTTTAAGAGACCATATACCAGCACTAATGGGGTCTTCACCAAAAAGGTTAGCGAGTTGGCAGTATCCTTTATTGTAATAAGCCAACTAAGCCAGCTAAATAATTCTAACTAAAAGCTGAAAATTAACTTTCTGTGAGGACTTTTTTTGTGTGTGAAAATGTTCAAATAAATGGTGCTTAATGCTAATAATTTTATTATTCCACTTGTTTCAAAGTACAGAAATTTAATAAATAAGACGATATAGATCTGGTGCTTTGGCTGGAAACAAAAATGGTTGAGTTATTCCACTCACAACGTATCTAGAATGCTCTTAGGATAATACTTGGAAAGTTAACAGGGCAAGTGGAAAAAAAGTATGGTTTATATTGGGAATAAAAGAGTGAGGGATGCTTTTCAGAAGTTTCTTATAGTCACAACTATAAGATACGAGAAACAATAAGAAACCGAACCTCTTTAAATGCTACCAGAAGTCACTATACTACAGATGTTACAGATACTGACATATGAACAGAGAGAAATAAGATTCTAGAACTTCAGGTTTGAGTATTCAAGAGAGCAGACTCATGCCAGCAATCCTAACACTTAGGAAATGGAGACAGGAAGACTGATCTGAGTTTGTGGAATTCTAGCACCTACTTCATCGATGATCCTGTAACTCAGTACTGTTCAAGCACAGAGAGATCACTTGGGATTGCTAGCAAGGTTCAGTGACAGATCCTGGATCTCAAGGTGGGAAATGATAGAGCAGGAGATACAATATCCTCCTCAGGCCTGATTGCACCTCCCCCTCCCCACCACACACACACACACACACACACACACACACACACACACACTCTTTCAGAATGTTAGTATCTGTTTTCTCTACAGGATGAAACAGTGGGACATGAGTAACAGGAAGTTCAAGTACCTTACTCTTCACAAACTCTTTGAGAGCAGGGTCTACACTATTTTCCCAGTATCTATTATAGAATGCATAACAAATAAGGTGTTTAAAGTATTATTAAACACTAGGTAGAATACTTTGACCTTTGCAACCCTAATAATTACATTAAAACCCTAATAATTACATTAAAACATCCACAAACTGAAAATATTTACCCAGAGTGTAGTGGTTGTTTTCCTATAAGTATATTGTACTAATCATAAAAATACATATAATTTAAAACATTCAAACTATAATTTTTCTCAATGTCTAGGGAAGGAAGGTCATTATGTTTTGTTTTGTTTGGAGACAGGGTCTCTGGAAGTAGTCCTGGCTGGCCCCGAGCACACAGAGCTGCTGTACCAATAGCTAGAACCACCAGCTGTCCCATCATGCCCTTCTGGAAGCCATCAGTCTTAAAGGTTCAGACAACCTTGTATCATAATTCTGTCAAGATGGTTTGTAATACATGCTTGTTCTATTCCCGAACTATTCTACTGCAGTGATTTGCTACATGTTTTCCCCTTCCAGCTGGCTTTTTGGTTCTTTTTGGGGTCACTGACTAGGCTGGCCTCACTCATGACCTAGGTATCAACTAGTTCTTTAAATGAGGCACTTTCTATCTCCTATCCTAAAGTATTATCAATTTTATTTTTGTGAGGCTGGGGATTAGTGGAGTGGAGAACACCTGCCTACCATGCATGAGGCCCTGGATTCAATGCCCATCACTGCAGAAAAGTGGATATCCAAGTGTGAGCTTAATCCTACAGATACTAGGTAGAAAATTCCTCATCCAAAATCAGGTGCCTTGTTTCCCTTCAAAACCAAAAGCATACTGTGGTATAGTTACTAAGGAATAACTCTTGAGGGAACCAAGTACTTCATTTGTTCTTCACTCCAACACCAGTTTTCCAGCTGATAATAGGCTCTCACCAAGCATGCTGCTCTACCAGGCATTAGTCTTGTTCGGGGTAACAGTATCTCTTAGGCTGGAAAGTTAAGAACACTGATTTCTCTACTTATGAAAGGACCTACATTTGATTCCCAGTGTCCACATAGTGGCTCAAAACTGTCTGAAACTCCAATCTAGGGGATCTGGCATCCAAACTTCCATGTGCACCAGGCAAGCAAGTTATACAGATACACATGTAGGCAAAACACCCAGATGCATTTAACAAACAAAACAAAAAAAAAGGTTAACTCTAGGTCATCATTTTCTCTAAAATTAAGATTAGAGAATAAACTCTTAACATATTTGACTTTCAGGATAGTCCACATAATCCTAGAAATCCCCCATCCCTGGTAAAATTTCTATGTCTTTTCAACTTGGCAAAAAACAAACAAACAAACCCAAAACCCTAACATGACTTTTTTTGAAGACCTATTTTTCAGCAGGAATGCTAAGTACATATTTATGAATCAGATAGTTTGAGGGCTGGGGTGTTGCTTTAACAAAAAATCGATTGATTTTACAAATGAAGATGCAGGAGCCAGATGCTTGGATCAAAGCCTGCTAGCTCAGCGAGGCAGAGAAAGCTGACCTTCTTCCTCAGCCACCTTTTTTATCAGGAATGCTCCTCTCAAAACACCTACCTCAACCTCAAACTGAATGTCCCTCCCCCTACTGCCTGTGCCATCTGTCAGGAGTCCTCTTATGGTGCTGGGTTTTTTTTTTTGGTTTTTGGTTTTTTTTTGGTTAATAATCCTACGTTCACTTCCTGTCAAATGGCTCTTGACCTATGGTTGACTTTCTTTACAATATTTAAGCAGAAAGCTCTTGGATTAAAGGTGTGGGCTAGGACTGAGCCACACTACAACTAAAAAC